AGTTTTCAAAATGGAAAGAACAAAAAAACCATGGATCAACACAGAATGAACATATATCTTACATAAGATGAAAAATCACGTGAGATTTCTGATTTAGAAGAAAATATAATTGACAGTCAGTGCAATAGTTAAGCACGTGAAGCGTAGTCATAAAATTCAATAATAATAATGATTAATAGAAGGGATAAGGGAATTAATTACATAAATGCAGTTCTTTTACTCCAACAGGATTATCTAAATGGTGCTAGACGTTAAGACTCAAAAGGCAAGAAGTCCTATTTGTTGAAAGTTATCATCAGAAGTATAGAATGGTCCAGTTTAATTATTAGTGATCCAGGAGAACGAGTGTACATTCTGTCTTGTAATGACCAATCAGATTTCAACCAGGCAGTGTAGCAATTAAAGGGGTAAAATGACTAGTATACAGGATAGATTTCATCTGAGGAAAGAGCCTGTCTCCTGTCCCTAAATAATAGTCATTTAGATGAATATACATACTACTATGAGAAACAGGGGGTTACAATGCAGAAAACGATACTGCGTTTGGTATTTTCTTAAACTTTTGTGAACATTAGTTCCATAAGTAAACACCTTCACCTGAATCAATTTGGTCTTCTTCAGTTGGTTAGTTCAAAGTTTTCCATGCGACTGGATTACCGTAGATTAACCCCAATTTTGAGATTTATATTTCTTAAGAGCTTTGAATTTGAATCAAAGAGAACACTTATCACTAATCTGTTCGGGTCATAACTGGACCCTATTCTTAAGTGAATTGAATGCAATAAAACAATGTAAATGGACAAGAAAAATCCTTTGTCGATCAGTTTGATATCTGAGAAGTATTCGCCTTATGACTGAGTTCCTTCTACAGATGCATAGTCAACTACAGTGGACGAATTTTTAGTTTAACCTGTATTGATTTGTGAAACTTGCATTATGTCTTTAATCAAATCGAATGACCCATTTTTGACTCTCAAGTGATTACCATGAAGCTTAGTAGATGACTTCAGCATAAAGTGATCGCAGAAAATCATATTTCAAACTATCACTTTATGGCATATGTATATGTGATAATATTGTAGATACTAATTCCAAATACGGATTATAATATAGTTTTGTGAGTCAGAACTGAGATTGTCTTCGGGGTGAGATTTTAATGACACTGTGATCTCTGTCTTTATTCTGAGTTGGAACGCTGTAGCAGACAGAAAATAAAGTTGTGAATCATCATCAGTTGAGGTGACTTCTACACTCGCTACGCATGCCTGCTTACTGTGCTGTGTATTAGGAGAATCAGATCAGTAGGAAGCGAAGGCTGATCGAACAGACACTGATTTGTAGGTTGACTTCCTCTTCCTCTGATCCTTGTAAAATATTCAGATGAAAGGAATTTAAGTAAGGACCTTTGAAAACTATATGTGCTATGGCTTGGAATCAGTGGATGTGGCTCACATACATTTATAATTTACGTACGTCTTAATCGTGACGGCAATTTTTTCATACATACAAAGGAGAAACAGTATCGCAAAATATTGAAAAGAGGATGAAAGGAGCGATAAAGAGATGCTTTCCCGCAGCACATCTGGTGACACTATACAGCAAGCACTACATGCTCTATAAGCCAATCGAAATTGGATAACTGATACCCTGCTGATTTACCTCCAACTGCATTTATAAATTTACGTGTACCTGCGGCAGCAAGTACATTCGAAGGACAGAAAGAAAGGCTTCTGTCCGGTTTTCAGAGCATATCCCAAGAAACTTATGCCTAAAAGGAAGCAGATATTTACAAAGTGCAATTACCAGACACCCACCATGTGGATACGGGTCATTTTGTCGAGATTTCCAAATCCTCAAAATATTAAACATACAAAGGACAGAGAATCTACTACGATTTGCTGAAGCAATTGCAATCAAACGTTTCAGACCAAACTGTTGCACACAGAAAGAGGGTGTAGTCAATCTCTCACTCCCTTGGTAACCATATCACTTTCATTACACTGATTAGTCATACACACTAGTGGGCTCAACTGACTAAGCAAGTTTTCAAATTGATGAACTTTGACCTTCTTGAGTTGACATGTTGACACTGTTTATTAGATTTTTTTGTCTTCTCTCACCCCCACCTTTTTCTTTTTTCATAGTTTGATAGTAAATAAATTGATGATACGTTCACCTTATAATGTTTTCTCTATTACCTTCCAAACAATGAGGTATGAAATGTTATTATTTATAGCCATTGCAATTTCAGGTAGTTTGCAGCTGATGAGAACCTGTGAAATAGAATGATATCATTTTATACTGCAAATTTGGTCTTTCTTTCTTTATCGAAATTTTTTTATCATTAACTTTTGATTGTAAAATGATGTAGACTCTATTCCATACAAAAATCTAGACAAATACTCAGTAATTCAGGTCGTAAGTTAGCACTGTCTACTTTAAAGGAAATAATCCAATATCTTTATTATATATTGTTTTCTGTCATTTATCTGACCTTAGTCATAAAATAAATATAACAATTAAATCAGGTCATATTTTGTTTTCCTCCCTAATTGTTCAGTTTATCAAAGGAATGTAACATTTAGAGAGAGAGCGGAAATATCTGCATAAAGTAGCAATTAATTGTAAGTAGGTTAATCTATATCGCTTAATATTCGACTAATTATGTATATATCCAGGCGTCTGTTTTTTCTATCTAGCACTTTAATCATGCTTGGTAAGGAAACAAACAGGCTAAATGATCATTTAACAGGAACTAATTGTGACTGTGAGTTGGGCAATTTTTTAAACAGACTGACTTTATATTACAACTTAAACACACTAATATTAGAGATTATTGAGAAAAAAAGTAAGTTAATAGACAGTTATGGTGATTCGCATAGAATAGATTCTCATAGATTAACCGCCAACAAAATTACACCACTAGGCTTACTGATCACTTCTATAGTCTTGATAAAAAAGTAAAATGACTTCGACTATGGTGCATTATAAAACAAAATACGAAGTATACGATGGGATTTATTTGGTGGATGGTGACTAGCAGTGGAAACCAGGATGCGCCTTTCGTCCTATTTGGGACTCATCATCGGGATGTACTTGCGTTTCCCAGTGAGTGATGATGCTCCCACCGAGGCTCGAACCAAGTGCCCATAGTTCCAAACGCCAAAGCGTTATCCACTAGACCACTTGGGCCACGAAAGCCACCTCTTGTTAAATTAATTTTAGATTTCTCCCGTCGATTGATTGGACTGAAGTGCTCGGTCTCAGGTTGACATGTCGGCTTATTGTGCTAGTCACCATCCACCAATTAAATGCCTAGACAGCGTTCAAGCATCTGCACAAGAAGCCGATATGTCAACCTGAGACCGAGCACTTCGGTCCAATCAATCGACGGGAAAAATGTAAAGTTCAATTAAATTGAAGTATATAATGGTTCTAGAAATAAAATAATACGACCCATATTCAGTATTTGGCAACTGGAAAAAACTTGTTCTCAGAACAGTTGGAGTCGTGCACCCACGGTGATTGATCCAGGTTTATTTTCGTTAAAGTATTGCAAAGTTTATCGACTCAAAAGTTTTTATCCCTATTCTTTTTAAGAACAGTACAATAATATGCTAATTTCTTGGTTTTCCGCATTTACTGATTTAACCTTTCTACAGTATTGAAACCGTTAATAAGTTATACCAACTTTCGCATAACTGTCAAGTGTCACTATCAACTAGACTTTAGGGGGGGCAATAATTTCGTTTGGCTAGCGTTTTCTGATATGTCACCAGGTTTTTCGAAAGCGTTTGAATGATTTTGTACGAACTTCAGTTCACGTATACTTTGTGTGTTGTACTTAACAGCTCTACTTTCTTTTAGTGTACGAATAATTGTTTCGAATATTGATTTCTTTCACGGACCGAAATTTCTTTGCCTCAGTATATGGAAGACTAGTCTATTATTGTTTATTAATACTCTTAATTTATCGATGTTTTAACTTTTGAACGTGGTTATGCTTGATGTAAATATTCGCAAGTGCACTCACTCAGTTCATCTTTTTCTAAGAAGACCACCAGTATACACTGTCGTCTTCTTTTACTGCAGCTACACTGTTAGAGGTAGGTTAGCAGAGACGTTAGACTGAGCTTAATTAATAAAAGGAGATTAGGTTAGCATAAGTATGCAACATCCTTGAGAAAGCCATGTTGAAACTATTTTTACCATTTAAATAGTCTTTCAAGAGTTTCTTTACCACTTGCGAAATAACTGAGGCCTATAGGTTTTATCATTATATTCATTATGCGGCTAATTTGCATTTATTCAACTTGTTTGAAAGCTCCTATTTCACTTTCTGCGAATGCCCACGGATATTCCATTCTCACCCATTACGAGTAACCTGACAGCCTGTATACGAAATACAGTCAACCGTTTTTCTTTACTTTACTACCTTTTTTGTATTCCTTCACGTTCACAGTCGAAAAGAGAGCTTCAAGCTAGAGGCTTGGAGTTTCTGTTGTTTTTTTATTTTATTTTTACAGGATGGGGTTGCTATGCTAGTCTCATGTCTAACCTTACCTCTTTACCAGCTTTATTTCTGGCTTAGCGAGGTAAATGAGTGCGTCGGTGGCCGGGGATCAAACCTCGGTTCATGTGAATGGTTGGCGAACGTCCTAACCGCTGTGCCACAGACGCAGCTTACTACCTAGCCATCGTATATTTGTTTTATACTAAACCAACCATAATGCAGTTGTGTACAGCTTTATATGCACTTTAATTTTCATCTAGTGTTCGAGGATATTTGAGAGCTGAATCAGTTGGAACCCTTGAAATTCTGCTTGGTTATAAACATTCTTTTCTCATGAACACGAAAATCACTAATTGCAACAACAAAAACTATGCAAACAAATCAAGTAACACCTTCATTTAAGCTAAAAAACCATAGATTATACATATTCAAAATTGTCCATCTGTACAAAATGTTATACACACATTGTCGAAATTATGATAATCTTCTAAGTGGGATTTTGAAGATCTGCTGATGAACGAAGAATAATTTGTTTCTTTGAAAATCCAGCATCTGTTTCGAGGACTAGATAACGATATTCAAATTCTTTGGATTCATTCTAATTAATACAAAAAAAGTATTAAAAAATATTATATAAATTTACTAGCTGATTAAATATATGTGGTTAAATTTCATATAAATGGTTCTCTTGTCAAATCTAAGTGATGCAGTATACAGCCGACATATTTCTGTTGATATTCTGCGACGTTATCCAAATAGCTGAATTTATTAGCTGATATGTACAGATTAATTCTGTTACTATTTACTTACTACTCCAAAGTAGTATAAATTGTACACAAAAAGTACGGTCTTAAATCTTAATATCTTGTCGATGTATACGCAACACGTTATGCACATGAAATCTTATCCAATGACGATGATAAAATGAAACTGAAGATATTTCAGTGGTCAAATAAGGCTGGAATTCAAACAGTAAAAGATGAAACTAAAGATTAAGTAAGTGAATAATACGAGTTAAAACAGTCTTAAAAGACAATATGAATGGGGGGGGGAGAGAATTTCAATGACAAATTTACTGATAAAGTCTATCCTAGAAAGGATACATTTTCCGGATATAAACATGAGCTATTTTTTCGGATTATTATAAGTTTAACCGTGTGAACTGAATTTTCACAGTAGAAATCCGTTCATAGCAGTCAAACATTTCATAAATGTCAAGATGCCAGAAAAAAATGTCATGGAAGACTGAGTAGACAAAAATCAGCTATTAGTAGTAGAAAACCATATGGATGCTACTGATTAGAAAAAAGTAGTACATGACACTTCTATGTCGGTAAAAGTCACCTATTTTCATATCAGTTCTCTTCATTTTGAAATACACCTACATTTTACCGTAAAAGCAAAGCTAATGTCTCATTAAATAAAAATCAGATATAAATACGAAGACATACAAGTGAATTATGAAACATACTTCTACAACTTCCAGATGAACAACACCAGATGCCAAATTACCATCGAGGTGAAATTTCATTGCCATATGGAGTCGGCCTTTGTCGTCATACCAAGAATCATGACTAAAAGTTTAATGAACGAAAACTAAAATCAATGGCACTAAGGGAGAAGCTGATAATCTAAAAGTCTGGAAAAATTAAGCGGAAAGATTTTATGTAATATTTTAAGCAGTTATGTAGTATGGCGTTTTTAAAAGGCGGTCTCATATTTTCCTCGATATTCTAGACAAAAATACCGCGATCATCTTAAAAATCGTGGATAGCAAATTTCTATGAGATTGGTTACAGGATTTCATCATGAGCTGACATCGGTTAGAGAACCATTGGGAAACCACAAGGGAGTACTGGACAGCTGTTTCATCCTAGTTTGGGGCTCTTGACCAGTACGCACCCACCTCAGTGGGGTTCGAATCCAGGACCTTCTGGTTACAATGTGAACTCGCAGAACATTAAGCCACTGGGACTCGATCCGATGGCCGGTGAATTTCAACTTCTGATAATTCACGATATAATACGACTACTAGCCAATGTCATCGGTGACTATTTATCCTCATACCCGACCTACTGTACCCTACTGGTCACGAATTCCCACGGAATTATCAGATTGCTCTTTTAATACAAAAGGTGAGAATGCTGAATGCATCCTTATCGAGTTATGAATGGATATGTTTCGCTCAAGAGCAAATCGATGTCAATAGGCAATGAAACAGTTTCGCATCATTAACCACTATATTTATGCTGAAGGTAAAACTGACTTGAACAGGTAAGTAGTTTGTACAGACGTACGGAGAACACAGTAAAGGTAATCGACTTCTCACGACTTATATTAGCTGGGATTTATCTGAACTATACCAGATACATAGTATAAACCACGCAAAAATTGTTTATCATAGAGAAGAGTCATGCGGTAATTAAATACTTTCATAAACTCTCCGATCTATATATTCATATAATAGGTGGCATTTTGTCTGAGCTACTTCGCTAAGTCATACTAACACAGTTTTCAGTTTATTTTACTCGACTTTTTCTTTAATCTGCACTGCAGTTAGCAAGCATATCCAAGAAACAAAATGTCTACACTTTCAGCAAAATTTGTTTACACTCGAATCAAACTACCATGAGGAAACCAGCGTCAAAAACTACAGGAAAATTCATAGTATTATACATAAGGAATATTTCTGAAATAATAGCTAGAATACTCAAACTATTCGAAACAGATAGAGCACAAAAGACAACACAATCACTTCATGTTATTACTGTACATACCAAAGAATACATCAGCAAAAGAAGACATGATCCACATGTACGAAATAAATTGCATGAAGTGTCAAGATGGGTGTCCCTTACGACTCAGATGATACGATATGTAATTTTTCATACCGATGTTAGTAGACAACTGTGGAACCAATTTGGTTGGGAATATGTAGAAATTTCAAAGTGAAAACACTAAAATGCCAGGGAATTTCTAGAAGCTTGGTAATCAGATCTTGGCGATTAATAGACACACTAATATAGATCAAATTTACGAGCTAATAAAGAATAAGCCACATGGCAAAGTGCAAGTCAATAAAAACGACAAATAGTAATACAAATTAACAACTAACTATGATAAAGGTTGTCAGGAGACACAATTTTATCATTCATGGAGAATTTAAATTAGTTCACTTCACATTAAAGGTTGCACTGAAGATGTTATCTAGGACAAAGAACGCTCCTCAGTTAAACTACCCAGCTCAGACAACGCAACTAAATCCCAAACAAGAACCACCGATAAGTTTGGAAAATATTCCTCAGACAGGTCATTTGAAATTTGTGAAGTTCTATCGGAATTACATGACAAATCTACAAACCACAGGTTAATGAATATCTCGCCTGCAGCTTTTATGGTAATGGACCGCTTGACCCACATAAGAACCTTTCGCACTGAAAACCCAGAGATTCCTGACAAATTACACTTCTGTTATTGTTTTATTCACAACAATTGTTCCTTGTTCACTTCGTTTTAAAACCATGGTGGCGATTGTGTCTTACGCAGAGGTGCGCGAGCATGATATAAATGACAATATTAAATACTTCATTCTCTCTGATATTCTAATTATTTCAATCTGTAAGTGGTTGCTGACTTGCGTTGAAATTGCACTGAAACTGTCAATGAATGAGATAAAACGAGCTTTAATATTTGAAATCTTTCCTGACCATTAAGTGGAAGGAATGAAACTTTTTAGCCACTGTCCATGTGAACTAAAGTTAGTTCCACGATGAAGTGTTTCAGAGTGATTCCCGAGAGCAGATATTAAATTCCTTGTTATTTTCACCTCTACAACTCTTGAGAACTTTTAGTTTGCTAGACAGTGACTGATGGAAATCTTGGATGGCTGCTGTGCTGAAAAACATGATACACCTTATTCTTTCTCCATTATTTTACGTAATTTTTCGAATTAGGAAAAAAACATCCGAATTCGTAATAAGAATTTGGCGTTTAGGCACAATACGTAGACGGCAGTAATACAAAACTGGATATTATGAAAACAATTGTTGTTGACAAAAATAATACTAAGTACTAGCACTCTTAATGACTATCCAACATGCTGGTAGTGAGATCCGGAGAAGCAAATGAGTCAAACATATCTTCCTGTTTTATAAACCTTTTTGGAAATGTTCTAATTTAATAAGACTTTAGTAAACTGATAAATAGCTGACAACGCAGTCTGAACTTGAAACAAAAGTAGTGGTGAGAATAATTAGAATAGCTTACGCAATGTTTCTTCTACGACCACGACTATTTGGATCACCATGGGCCTTGATAGAACTTCCAAGAAGATTCAAGACCTACGATACAATTAGGTGGGATGGTTTGCTTTTAATGAAAACGAACTCTGTTATCTGACTTGCAGATCTTGAAGGCATCATTATAAACACCATTCGAACTTTTGCTTGAAAAAAGCTCTTGGACAATTGTATAAAGGATAGCACCTAAACAATAATAATTTCCTCGTGCTACTAACACTCACCAGTAAGTGCGAGTCCACCAATAACTATGGTGAAGTATCCCACATCTTTTGTAGCTTGTTTTACTTTACCGAAATCAGCAAATACATACGAGAATACCTCTTATTGTGACATTTGTCGATGGCAAGTTTTCAGTTGCCTTAGTTTGAGCGACTGCCTTGCCACTACTTGAAGTCGAGGCGCTACAAAGAATAACGGGCCATCTGTAGTAGGTACAACGACAGTAATGAAACTTCGGCGGTGTGAGACAATTTAGAGGAAATAACCGGGAGACTGGCATTTGGCCTTGCTTTTGAAATAGTGGTACTTAGGGTCACTGTTCAATTCAAGATTAGATTTTTAGTTGAGTATACAAACTCTGTTATTCTTCTTTTATGAGTATCGATGATTGCCTAATCCTTTCTTGAAAAAGTCAGTTCTAAGTGTGAATGACTTGGGTGTGGGGGGGACAAGCACGCCAATATCCAATATCCAATATCGTTTTTACGAGCTAGTATAAACCAATTTGATTTCTTTGTGCTCGCTTCTTGATTGTGAGGTATAGGTTCTTGATCTTCGGTAAACTTCTGCGTAGCTTGTCCCGCCACTCGACTGTCGTAGCTTTGGTTGACTCCAAAGGGAGTAGTGCTGGGATTAATTATATGTGGTTTGTAGTATGAGGTATGTTAAGACTGTTACTACTGTGATTGGAGTTGATCCTTTCGCCAGTTAGTCCTTCGGTATTGTCGACAAGAGAAAAGAGATAGTAATAATAATAATAATAGTAATAATAATAATAATAGATATAATTAGTGAAGCTATTCAGACTAAGAGACAGAAACGAAAATAGGAAACGTAACAACAGTCAGCTCATGAAGTTTGAAGAATAATATATATATCAGTAATAGTAATAATAATAATAATAGTAATTATAATATTAATAAGTTGTCAGGAGAGTAAGACGGGAGAGAATGTAAAGAAGTAAAATGACGAGTTTAATTATCTACCCTGATTGGTAAATGCGATTTTAAGGAGATAGGCCATTTGGATGCAGTCCTTGTATCGCTGCATGGTTGTCCAGCCTTCGCTTAAAGGCGTCCAAAGACGGTGCCATAGCTACATCTGCCGGTAAGGAATTCCAGGGACGACAAACCCGCAGTGAAAAGAAGTGGGAGCGCACCCGGGTCCTTGCCCTCTGGTGAGCTATCCTTCTGGGATTTCCACGTGGAAGCCTATACCTACTCAATGGCAGAACACCTTTGTTTGGGTGATTCTGGTCATTTGTTATTTTGTAGGCAGTAATCAAATCCCCCCTAAGCCGACGGTAACTAAGTGTGAACAGGCCTAATTTCTTCAGCCTCTCATCATATGGTTTGTTTCGGAGACCAACCACTCCTTTTGTTGCCCGTCGTTGGACTCTTTCCAAGAGGTTGGCATCTCTTCTCAGCATTGGGGGTGCAATAATATTATGCACCTCAAGGTGTGGCCTGACGTATGTTTTGTACAACATTAGAAAGAGCTCAGGAGTGAGTGCACCTAACTGTCTATGCGTAAAGTGTATGACCGCATATGCCCTCGCTACATCCCCTGTGTAATTTACGCTTGTGTCCATTTTTTCCGTTAGAACTAGACCTAAGTCGCGTTCCGACGTTGTGCAGGACAAGCTTTCATTGCACAGGGTGTAACTTGCATTCTGCAGTCTACAGGTGCGCAACTTCACTACTTTGCACTTTTTCAAGTTGAAAGTCATGCCACTGGCCACCGCCCAATCTTCCAGAAGGTTTAGGTCTTCCTGTAGCCTATCTGAGTCCTCCGGACACTTTATCGCCCTCCATATTTTTACGTCGTCAGCGTACAGGAGAGTCGGGCAGCTCAGACGGCGTGGTAGATCATTGATGAAAATCAAAAACATCAGTGGTCCTAGGATAGAACCCTGCGACACTCCTGATGACGATCTGTGCCAAGATGATCGGACTCGGTTAACCTTAGTGCAAAATTGCCTGTCGGCTAGGTAGTCCTTCAACCATGACAGAAGTGGCTCACCTATGCCTGCCTGTCTTATTTTATGTAGGAGATTAATATAATTGATGACTTGCTTTTAAACTCTCCAGCTGTGTCTGGGATCCTCCAGTCCGGTGTATGGTAAAATATAATGTCGATCAGGTCCAAAGTCGTTTATTAAAATGGAGGAGTTAAAGTATATCAGAGTTAGTCAAAGAACCTATCATTAAATGGGTTCACGAAATCCGTAAACTGGTTAACACGGTGGTGAATACAACCAAAAGATGACATTCGGTTTTATCCCCTTCGCAAAGTAATCAAATACTCGGTTTTCATGGGACTCATTTGTCAATCCGACAAGGCAGCCATGTCTTTATTTAGAATGACCATTCGTAACATTCCTTCAATGTGGTTGGTTGTTTGAGGTCAGGTTTTGACTGTTGTTGGCTTTGGCTGATACAGTTTAGCTTCTCCCTTGAAATAATGTGCGCCGTGATTATATATAATCTCTTCCTGCAGATTGGCAATGAGAAGAGTTTCAGGATCTTAAGCCGTACCTTGTGTTGTAGATAAGTCATAATAGGAGCTACGCGCGTGCGCTATAAAAATAAATAAATAAATTTATTCTCATGATAGAGTACATGAGGGACGCCAGTTTACAGGCATCATCAAATTGTTACAGAAATAGGACCATATTATTCAGTCACAATTTACAGTCGATAGCAAAATATGTTTAACATGTACACTGGAGATTATACATACACTTGATAAATGTTAATCCCAATAGTATAAAACATCCTTTTCACTTATGTACAATCATTTCTGTGCATAGTTGGAAAAATCCGCTAGATTGTCAGTGAGTGCAACACATCAGGAAATACAGAAGTATTGTCTTCGCATTAACAAAAAAACCAGGTCTTTGGTGGATGGGTTATAAGTGCCTGGGAAAAAAATAAAGCTTGAAGTCAATTTTCGTACAATACTTTGTTGTGTGCAGAATCCTTGAATTATAGTTCATTGATGTGTTATTTTGAAATCAGTGATATGTTTATCTCATTTGATCTGCAATGTCATTGTTGGGAGTAAAATACATAAGCTTTAGACGCATTAATTAATGGATTTCTACTGCTTGTGGGTATTTACTTCTCGTGAGGAAGGTTTTTGAATTTTAGTTGTTCCGACAGGAGTTGTGGATATTGACTGCTCAGCAACATTACGGATATAAGTTCATCACATTATCTCAGGAATGTTGGGTTGTAGTTGGTGAGGCATATATGATGTCCGACGAGCGTACATCTGTCCATGTGATGTTGTGGTGAGTTATATCTTTTTCATGTTGTCGGTTTATGTCCATTTTATTCCACTTATTGTGTTGGGTAGAAGTTTTACAAACGAAACTTCTTGTCTGTTTGAGGGTAAGTATCTTAATCGTTAATGTTTTATCTAAAATTATAAATATAGGCAAAAACAACAGGTGTAGTATTTGAACTTATACATTAAATGGACCTATAATTTCGGAGGCTCTCAGATAGGAACTAGGACTACTGTCGTTTGCAAACTCGTGTAGTTTGTCGTTAAGCACTTTTTTGAAGGAGGCCAATGTACCTGCTTGACGCATTTCCATTGGTAGTTTATTCCATATCTGTGCATACCTAATCAAATAAAACTTTTGCCTGGTAGCTGTTTTACATTGTTCGATAGCTACTGTACCCTTAGTGTGTCTTAGTTTGTAGCCACTGTCATCTGAAAGTCGAATGCCATTAGTAGAGGTAAAAACTAAGTGGTTTAGAAGCTTATAGTAAAGTGTTAAGTTTAGTCTCAGGCGTCTTAGCCATAGTGTTTCTAATCCTAGGGTGTCACATCTAGTGGAGTAGTTCGCACCATTTTCGGTTCCGAGTAATTTTGACGTGAAGTACCTCTGCACTCCCTCGACTTTCAATTTGTCCTCTATGCGTATACTACTATACATGAATGAACAGTAATCAAATAAAGGACGCACACAAACCTTGTACAACAGAATTCTGGACTCATTTCTGTAAAAGTTCCTGAGTAGAAAGCCGATAAGTCTGCGTGACTTTGACACTTGTTTGGAGATATGTTCAGAAAATGATAAGTCATGTGAGTATTTCAGTCCTAGGTCCAATACAGATTCCAGTCGTAAGAGTGCATGGCCTTGAATTGTCAGGTCAAGTTCTAAATTGTTGCAACCTATGCAGAGCCAGCCACATTTGTCGACATTAAACTGGAGTTGCCAGGTGTCACACCATCTATCCATTTTTTCTAATTCTTGCTGTATGGCGTTTACTGTTATTCCGAGATCTGTGTTCTTGCATTTATAGGTCACTTTTAAGTCATCTGCATATAGTATTGGTTTACCAACACTAAAGCATTCACAGATACTGTTTATATATATTATGAATAGGAGTGGGCCTAATACACTTCCCTGGATTACACCACTACTTACAGGTTTAGGCCTTGAGATTATCGAGCCAACTTTTGTTATCTGATTCCTGTCACAGAGAAATGATTTTATCCAGCTCAGGAGAGGGTCACATATCCCTAGTGAGCATAACCTGCTGACTAGCAGATTATGGGGGACTCTATCGAAGGCTTTTGTTATATCGAAATATAGCACAATTACTAGTTCTCTGTTGTCCCTGCTTCGTGTAACTTCATTGAAAAAGTCTATGTGACAGGTCGCACATGATCTCTTTTTGAGGAATCCGTGTTGTGATGGGTTGATAAGTTCATGTTCTAGTAAGTTGTCTGACACTTGGTCTTTAACCACTTTCTCCATTATTCGTGATATTACCGGTGTTATATTAATAGGTCTATAGTTGCATGCACTGGTTTTGGCCCCTGCTTTGTGCTTAGGTAATATGTATGTGGTTTTCCACACTTCAGGATAAGTTCCAGTTTCCAGTGACAGAGTAAATATTCTAAGTAACAAGACTACCATTTCCGTGCTACCATTTTTGTATATGACAGATGGTATGTCGTCTGTTCCAGTACTGCCATTTGACTTCAATGTCTTAATCGCTGAGTCTATATTTTGTATATTAAAATCTATTTCTCCTAATTTGTACTTTTGCAGGTCATTTGGAAATTTGGGGTCGGGTGCACTCTGGTGTCATTGCAAAACCACTCACTGAGGAGTTCACTTATAACCTGGGGATCGTTGTATATTACACCCCTATGTTCCAAGATGCTTACATTATTGTCTTTACTGCTTTTTAGACGTTTTTGCAATATCCTACAAAGTTCCTGAGTTTTGGTGTTACCCATTAGCGCTTTATTTTC